GAGAGAGAGAGAAAACAGCTTGCCTATTGGATTTCTCCTACCTTTTTCTACCACGTAGAATCTGTGGACTTTGGCACTGAATTCAGGTTGTCAGGCTCAGTGGCTGCTACCTGTATCAGCTGAGCCATCTTCTGGCTCTGAAAACTAATATTTTTTTTCCTATGAACAATTACGAAATTCAAAACCCTAAAGTAGGTCTCTGGTTTCTTAAAGGATTATAAATCAGGACCAGCCTTGCAGGGAGAGAGCTTCCTCACAAAGATGCTGTGGGAAGCCTCAGCGAAGACATGCCTACTCTGGGGACCTGCAGCCTTTTCCGTAGTAAGGAGATGCCGGCAGCTCAGAGACTGGCCTTATTTGTACTTCAGTATTAGGCTTGAAGCATGTGTGAACTGGAGGGCTTTCCTAGAAAGTCCTTGGGGTAAGAACAGTTTTGGAAGGGCGAGCTGAGTGGCCAAGCCCCACAGGGAAACTCCCAGCCCGCTTTCTTCCCTGAGCAGTATTCCTCAGGGAGAAATCACAGCCTGTAAAGGAATTCAGCACTAGAGGAGTTAATGAGATGGCAGGAATCCCAAAGTGTCACATTTTGAATGGAATCATTTGTAAGGTTTTAAACATAACACTTTTTTGTTTGTTTTGTCTTTTTTTTTTTAGACAAGGTCTCGCTATGTAGACTTGGGTGTTCTGGAACTCCCCTGCGCTTTTGTTTGTTTGGAACAGGGTCTCACTCTGTTGTGTTGGCAGCCTCTTGATTCTTTTTCTCCACCTTCTGGGTGGGTTTACAGATGTGTGTGACTAGGTCCAGCTCTTCCTATTTGTTTGTTTTTGTTTTTCTCCTTGCTGTACAGGGGACTAAACCCAGGACCCGGTCAGTACATACCCTGCACGTGCTCTAGCAGCTGAGCTCTATGCCCACCCTGATTTCACTGCCGTTAGCCATTTCGTGTTTGTGTGCTTCTAATGACTGTCAGGAACAGCACGTTCAGGAGTTACATTTCAGTTCCTGGTCAGAGTCTTTGTCACATGGCCTGATGGACCTTGGTGGCAAGCTGTGTGTCTCAATGGTGCTGAGAGGTGAGCTTGACCATTGCATCCGGCTCTCCTTCCACATGCCTCTCCCATGACTGTCCACATTAAGCAAGCTGGCCAGCTGGCCAAGTGAGCCACAGTGACTCAGGAGGGAGGAGGACAGAAGCCTTCTGGTCGGCTTCAGCCCAGATCCCAGCATTTGTTCTGCAGTCCAGTTCTCCAAACTCCTAAGTACATGGAAGGATAATTTGGAGACTTCCAACTATTGCCAAGTCAGAAGGCGTGGCCGCATCCTTCTCTGGACTTTTCTCTCCAAGCCTCAGTCAGAGATTGTACCAGACACTGCTAGGGTCTTTTCCTGTTGGAAAAAAGAAAAAAATCAATGTCGCTTCATTGACAAAATCCCAGACCTATACCTCAGTCGTCTACAACACACAGTGGCTCAAAAAAAAAATCTACTGACCCAGGTAATTAAAAACAGTCTGAGGGAGAGAGTAGAGGAAGAGAGTGGGGATGTGTCGAGGAGTCTGCTGCTCCCAGGGGCCTCCCTGGGATGTACCCTGAACAAACTTGGTATTTTACACACAGGGGAACTTTTCTCCAAATGTCTTATGCAGATAATACACAGAGGAAACATTTCAGGATGTGGGTTTGGGCAAAGATCTTTTGGTAATGGCTCCCAAAGCGGGGCAACAAGAGTAAAAATGGACAAATAGGGTTGTATGAAGTTCGAAAGCTTCTACACAGCAAAATAGCAGTGAACAGAGTGAAAAGGCCATACATAGAACGGGAGAAAACCACTGCGTTATCGTTCTCCACTGAACAGTCTTCAAGATTGTATATGTGGCATTCATTTAGTAAACAATAGTGCTTTTATTAAACTGTGATTTTATTGCATATATCTTGTCCCTCAGATCTGTTTTGTAGAAACATAAGGAATAACATTTCGTATTATAATGATTATTGCTCTTACTTTATTTTCCATGATAGTGTGAGGTTTTTTGTTTGTTTGTTTGTTTGTTTTTGGCTTATATTTCTCATTATTACTCTCACTGAACAATTTTTTACTTATAAATTGTTTTATGGGGGAGTATACTGGGGATTGAACTCAGGGTCTCAAATGTGTGTTAGGTAAACACTCTGCCTAGCCCTATAGTCTCTGTCTGACGATCTTCCCCCTCCTTCCTCCCTCCCTCTCCCTCCCTCCTTCCCTCTCTCTTTCCTTTCTTTCTCCTTTCCTTACTTTCCCCTCCCTTCTCAATCATTGCTTTTGCATAGAAAAGTCCGATTCATGGTAGGGATCTGATCACTTCGGTTTGTAATTGGTTGGTGTGTGCGCGCACCAGCAAATTTCTCCTATACAGGCTGTGTGTAGTTGGTGATGTGTGCTGAGGACCAGCATGCCCCCCCTCTACAGTGTGCAGTTGGAGGTATGTGCTCAGGGCCAGGAAGTTGCTCTTTTTTTCTGTGGGGGCACTTTTGAGATAGGGTTTCTCTGTGTAGCTTTGTGTCTTTCCTGGAACTCCCTCTGTAGTCCAAGCTGGCCTCGAACTAACAGAGATCAGCCTGCCTCTGCCAGTCCTCCCCCACCCCACCCCCGCCCCAGTGCTGGGATTAAAGGCATGCACCACCACCGCCCGGCAGGAAGTTGCTCTTGCACAGGCTGTAATTGGTGTGTGTTGGGCCCCATAGAGGTGGGTGTTTCCTTACACAGGAGGAGAGAACCCTGGCTGTGTTTACACTCACCACTTAAACTGTCAACCTCCCTGTTTTCTATTTTCCCCATCCATCTTCCTCTTCTGCTGATTTCTCAGTGAAGTGCTTGCTCCTGCACAGCAGCAAATGTTTCCTAATGCACCAAGGGAATTAGAGAAAAGAGCTCTGAGTGGAAGCACATGTCTTTAACACCCAGCTCTATTCCCAGCTCTGCTGCAGTGACATCTTAAATCAGCTCCTCTGTACCGGCCCCACATTAACCATGTCTTTTCATTTCACCACTGATGCTGTGACATCTGGGACATTGCTGGCCTTTATAGGACTGCTCCTCCCAGGGCTCACGAGTTACTAGAGAGCAAACAACTCCTTTGAGAACATGCTTTAGGGAGGCAGACATAGGATCTGAGTTCATCTCTGGCTACCTTTATCAGGCTCTTTTTACTACCCCAGGTCAGGCACTACTAATTAGATATGGGCCATGTGCCTGGAGCCTGCTGGCATACTGGCCACCCCTAGACTCATTTGCTCTGCCTCTCTTGTCTGTTTACAGGGAAGTGTCAACAGTGCCTCTCTGACCACCATGGCATGGGGGAGTGGGCCTCCTCCTCTTCAGAGTCACCCTGAGTTAAAAACTGTCTAACCTCATGGTTGATTGATTTCGCAGTGCTGGAAATCAAATCCAGAGGCTTTCTTATGCTAGGCAGGTGCTTTACCTCCTGTGTTCTCAGTGGCAGTTGCCTCCTTTCTGTCGAATCACCACACTTGAAAAATAAAAGAATGTACGAGTTAAAAGTGATTCTGGGGCCTGGCGGTGGTGGCACACGCCTTTAATCCCAGCACTCAGGAGGCAGAGGCAGGTGGATCTCTGTGAGTTTGAGGCCAACCTAGGCTACAGAGTGAGTTCTAGGAAAGGCGCAAA